CCATTTAACTTTTGAGGGAAGGGGTGGGTGATTTACTGCTGGCAGGGAATTTTTTTTCTGAGATCGTTATGTGCAAGTTTTTTTTTTCTATCCCATCACCATGTACGATTTTTTTTGCTACTCTCTTTCACAGCATTTTTTTTCAATAGCTTATACCAGTGCTGTAGAAGTGGGGGGTCGCTTGAGGGCGGAGCCCCCCTTCTTCAAACTCTGGGGGGCTGAGCCCCCCTTCTACTTTAGAAAATCGAGAATTTATTATGTCACAGAGGAGATTCAGTCATCTGGGGATACTAAATACCGAATGTACTCATGTCCAAGAACGACAAGAGAAAACGTAACTTTCGTTCATTTACGGAGCAGAATCTCTGTTACAATCTCAACAAAAATATTTAGTTTTCATTTAAAAAACTCCAGCAGAATTAGTCAGACTTTTGAATTATTTGAATTAGTTTGGACTATCACAGACTTTTTAAAATACGTTAAGTTATTCCTTGCACATAATTATGTAGATTAGTTCAGTTTTCATTAGTACGTACGCTGGACAGGTGTTTGTTTCCATTTATTATTTTCTTGTTATGTATTAGTGGGCTCGCACTTTACAGAAAAAACATTTCTAAGAAAGGTACGGACGATAAGTATGGAAAATGCAATTTAAATTACGCTTAAATAAGGCGTTAAATTTCGAAGAAAGAAATATATTCAAGGAAAATGTACTGAGCGAATAAATTTTACCCATATATAATGGCTTGCTTAAGAGTCGTTCAAGAAGTTTTTAAGAGAAACTAGCAGGTTTTATTGCATTTCCGGGGCTCTGAGAAGTCTCAGATTTCAAAATTTCCCGGACCTCCCAGTCTCAGAAGGCTCACGCCTTCGGCGTTCGCTAGCCCCCCCCCAATCAAAAAATGCCGCCGCGGTAAGGGCTATAGGTTTACCCCTGGTCATCGTATGGCTCACCCCTGGTCGTCATATGACGTCACGTATTTTTTACGATTCACGGCTTCACGCTCGTCAAGAGAGCCCCCCCTCTGGTAAATTTAGTTCTACAGCACTGGCTTATACTATTTAGATTCATTAAATATAGTTAAACGTTGAGTTTTCTATAGATTGCTTTTAATAATACATATTGCTATGAGGAGTACGAGGTATAACATTTGGTTCAGGGCCTCTTTTAAGAATGTGTAACTGGAGGGGACATATTTGGCGGGGGACCTGGAGAAGTTCCAGTCGGCAAGTCTGTATCACTGCAGCTACCTGCAGCATATATATGCATGGTTTAACTAATAAGTATACGTCATAGGGCAGCAGATCATGCCATAACTAGGATTCTGAGACAACCGAGTCGAGCACCGAAAGTGCGAGCCTCTAGAGGGGGCATGCCCCCCTGAATATGTTTGATTTCTTGAAGCTCAGATAAGCTATTTCCAGCATTTTGAGGAGTACGTTTTTCAACAAGAAATTAACCTTACACTAGTCCCTGAAAATCAAACCAGCTGATCTTCTGGGACTGGTCAAATCGATCCCTGCAACCATATGCTGTTTTGCAACATTTTTTCCCCCACCAAATACTGGGGCAGGATATTTTTTCCCCCAGTTTGTTAGTGCAGGTATTTTTTTGTTCAGAATAGCCTTGCAGGAAATTTTCAAACATCACCACCAAAAAGTAAAATGGTCGGCCCCTTATTTAGCTTTTCAACGACACTCTTTTTAAATCGTAACGATGAGTAATGGCCACATACTCGTCAAATAAAAATTGCCAGTCAAAATCACATTCTTCCACCGTTGGGAATTGCATGAAAAAATGAAACATGGACAATTCCCAAGAGGAAATTAAAATTAAATGTTAAATTATCTAAAATGAGCTCAACTCATCAAACTTCGTCTTAGTGAGACAATAAGTACGTCCATTAAACATGGTTCAATTAACCACTAAACAGAGAACATTCGTAATCAAAAGTTTACAAAACAAATAGCTTGCAGCAGACTCGCGTTGCTTTTGGATTGATTAACTTTGCATAATTAATGTTTTTCAATTTCCAACGGTGGAAGAATGTGATTTCGACCGGCAATTTTTATTTGACGAATATGCGGCCATTTCTCATTGTTACGATTTAAAAAGGTATCATTGAAAATCTAAATAACTGTTCTTTCGTCCTATGTAAAAATTGAATTGTTTAGCAAAGTTGATGATGCACGATAGCCTGTTGAATTTCCAAAGTGGTTTTTTTGAGACACCCTGTATATGTTATTGACTGAGCGAGAGGTCGGTACAGGGGGATACTGGTCAAGTTATTTTTTCGCTTGTATGGACCGAGCGTTCAGGCGAGGTCCATACAAGCGAAAAACGAACGAGACCAGTATCCTCCTGTACGGACCGAACAAGCTCAGTCAATAAGCTATTTATTATATGGCTAAAAACAAACAGAGAAATTGATTATGAAATGATCTTTAATTAATAAAATTAATACACAACTTGTGTACAACATTTCAACATTTTCAATAAAGCCGGTAAATGTCTATTAATTGATTTAAGGACAGCGAAGAAAGCCGGCTAAAAATTGTCCTTTAAATTTTTATTGGCTACCAAGAAAAACGCACAAAATGTTCGAACATGTTTATAATTTATTTGTCTTCGCTGTCACTGGAATGAATCCAAAATTTCCCGCCAAACCTCAGCGCAGTCCATGCTGTTGGTTTCTGACCGCTCAGGAACTAATCAAAATCTCCATTTTTCGGATGACCTCACCTTGTCATATAATAAAGTCTCCTTAAATTTTCTAAAATGTACAGTAGCTATATCATACAGCATCATCATCTCATCATAGATTTGTGCACGACACCATAAGCATTAGACAAAACTTTAGTCTATAAGGTAATCAAAAGAAATAGAAAACATACCAATCTTCTCATTTCATGGGAATACCCTGAGCTTGCAATCACGGCTTCAAGTTTTGAATTGCAGAATAATTAGATGCACTATGTAGTGTATATAAGATATCTATGCTAAACCCATGTAATAAAACTGAACAGATTTGAAATTGCTCTCAATTTCGCAAAACAGCTATTAGTATCCAGTTTTTTTTTATATATAGATTCCTTGAGTACCCATAATGTAGAATAATGAAAAAAATTTCTCGAACTCAAATTTTGTAAACAAGGGGTGTGTGTCTTTTCCAACAAACTAAAAATGGCTTGCGCACGAGATTTAAAAGCTAATTGTATTTTGAGTTAATGGGTTAAAAATGCGTTGGGTGTTTAATTGCTGCACGAAATTTCAGACCATTTGCTTCAGTTTAAGCCCTTTAACTATACACGCAAACTTACATTTTCCCCTTAAAAATCAGCCTTTTGAATGCCCAATTTTAATGCCTTTGCCTAATTTTCTTATGTCAGGCGCTTTCACATGCTTAATTAATGCCTTTACCTAATTTACATTTTGCTGACAATGTCAGCAAAATGCAAATTAGGTAAAGGCATTAATTAAGCATGTGAAACCTGATTTTTACTCGCTGCTGGGGCACCTGTGCCCAGGCGAGTATAGTATTCGGCTCTGTTCTTGGATCTCCAATCGTCGAATATTAATAGAATATTAATGAGCTGCCTAATAAAACCCAATTACCCTTTCTCGCGCTTGGTGATCAGGCTTTGTCCGCCATTTTTGGGTGGCAAACCGCGCGAAGACAAAGGACGACAATAAACAAAGAAGTGATTTAAAGGGCGAAATACACGGTAGTTCTTGGCGATTTTTTTCCCCTTTTAAGGTGGCTCGATATAGTTATCACAAAAACCCTGCTCACTAAGAGTCGCGAACTCAAAACCGGGTGATCATTTTTACGCGCAGGTCGTGGAAACTGATTAACAAAATGAAAGAACTTCTAAAATGACCTGACGTGAGCAGTTGCTCGCGCCATATCACGTCATTGCGTGTGTTCTATAGTGTTTTATGTCAATTGCTGACGTCATTAGAATTTTCCATTATAGAAAAACAATGCGCTATATCTCTTTATTTTGTCTGGTGACCTATGTTCAAATTTTGCATGCTGTATTGCACCGCTAAAAACTTTCATTATACAAAAAATAAAAAAATTCTGTAATGCCAAAAAAAATTTACGAAGAATATGACATTTTCGCATTTTCCAAAAAAATGGCATTACAGAATTTTTTTATATTTTGCTAAATGTTAGCTTTTCGTCGAAGTAACATAATGCACGAAAAAAAATTGGGGGTCACCATGCTTTTTTTCCAACTATACGAGACGATAGGCCATTTTGGAGTGAATTTCGTACACGTATGTCGTCATAGCAACGAACTATCTGTTACTAAGACTTATATAATTTGAAAGTTGAGATATCAAAATATATAAAAACCTCAATATCTGCTGAATAAATCCTAAAAATACGTAGTTTGAACATGTCAAAGTGTTGAACACCTGAATTTTTGAAAACTATATCGAGCCACCTTAAATTGCTTTTTGGCCTATGTTTTTGCTTATGTGCTATTAGGGAGTGATTACCGTGCTTGGTACTTAATTTAAAGACTGACTGTATCTTTGAAACTATAAGGATAAATTTTACTTTGAAAGTGTCATGTAACGTCTTGGACGATTCTAGGTAAAGATATTTTGTTGTTATTATTGCACAGTGTTCCACCCCTGAACTGCGCTTGTTCTACTGTAGTTAAAAGCATGTACATCAAAAAAGAGTTATAACTTACAATTAATTAAACTAAATTTAGCAATAAAAATGTATTTACTTCCAGTATAAAAGGTTTTTATTGCGTTTTTTTAGACCAATGGTCGCCACACTACTGCCATGCCTGGACGAGTTAAATGTTTCGTTTCAGGCTGCAATAACTCGTGGTACAGAAACACCATAAGTAACGAAGGGACACTAAGTTTTCATCGGTTGCCTAAGAATACAGTTCTTATTGAGAAGTATGAAAACATCCTAAAAACTAAGGTTCCAAATGCACAAAATGCCAGAGTTTGTGGTCAGCACTTTAAAAATGGTAAAAGAGAGTCTCCAAGTGAACTTCCTATCTCGCATATTCCACCTGCAAGCAATAGTGAAGCTGGTCCGATTTGTCCGAAAAGAAAAGCTCCAACACCTAGAGGGCCTGTTCCACCACCTAAGCCCAGAAATCAGTATTTCAACACGTACAAAGAGAGAATGATGAAAAAGCAATTAGATAAAAAGCAAGCTGAAATTAACAATTTGAATGAGCAATTAATAAGTAAGGAAATGAAAATTCAAGATTTGCAAAATTTACTACAGGAAAGTAGAACTAATACTGGTATGGAGCACAACAAAGTTAATGCATGTGAAGCTGATATTATAAGATTACAAAATGGATTACAAGAATGGGAGTTTAACATTGAGAGATTCATCAAAGACGACAGTAAGATGGTTTTCTATACAGGCTTAAACAGTGAGCAGTTTAATTCATTTTGGGAGTTTGTTGAGCCAGAAATATCGACACCAAAACGACGAAAAGGGATAAGTAGAAAGAATGAACTTTTTGCAGTACTTGTAAAGTTAAGGTTGGGGTTGCAGTATGAGGATTTGGCTGATAGATTAGGTCTATCAAGACAGACAGTGTCTAGACTGTTTGAAGGATGGATAACATTCTTGAGTAGCATAGTCGCCAAGATCAATTTATGACCTAGTATTGACTATATTGACAAGTATGTGCCAAATAATTTTAAGCCCAAGTATTCCATGACCAGAGTTATCTTGGACTGTACTGAAATAGAAGTTCAAAGAGCTTCAAATTGTGACCTACAATCCATGAACTTTTCATCCTACAAAAACTGTGCAACTGTAAAAGGATTAGTTGGGATCACCCCAGATGGCATTGGATGCTTTTTTAGTGATCTTATGCCAGGATCGACCTCAGATAATGAGATAACACTTGCATCTGGAGTACTAAATAAGGTTGAGTCAGGCAGAGGAGTTATGACCGATAGAGGTTTTACAATCCAGGACAATTATGCAGAGAAAGGGTTACATCACTTTGCACCACCCATGTTGGAGGGCAATCAAATGTCAGTAGCTGATTGTACAAAGACTTTTGACATAGCTCATTTTCGCATTCATGTGGAACGATTCATTGGAAGAATGAGGAACTGGCACATTCTTTCACAGATCTGGCCAATGAATCAGTATGACTTAATACTTAACCCAACATGGAAAGTAATTGGGTTTCTTGTAAATATGAGCCCGCCTGTTGGTCCTAAAATCAATGATCATGAAGTTGAGGAATAAGACCATTAAAGGTGGCTCCCTCAGTTTCCTAGAAAATGGAAGATCTCTGATTTAGACCGAATTTTTCAACAATTCCTATTTGTTAAAAGACAAAGAAAGTCCGATTAGAAAAATAATAACTACTGTAAATACTCTTTGTTTTTTCATGTCCGAAATTCATGTCCAAATCACAAAATCTTCCATTCCACTATTAATGGTAAGAATAATTTAACATTGTGAATGATAATTATAAGTATTAATATTATCAATTAATTAGTATTTGATAACTTACAATAACCTGAATAACATTTTAGCGCTTGAGAATATTTATTAGCTCTTAAGAATATTTATTGGCGCTTTAGAATATTTATAGTGTTTAGCGCTTTATAAATTAATAAATTATTATTATTATTATTATTATTATAACATTAATTAATTAAACAACGTACATTAAATTAGTCATAACTTGGGACATTTAACAGATGTCAAAAGGGGTTTGATATAAACTTCATACCACTTCTGCAATTTAGACTTTAGATCTACAAAGAATGCCTCATCATATTTGATGGGAAAATATTCTAAATCTATGTCTGAGTACAGAGAGGAGGTACGACAAGCAATTAGCGAGTTGTCACGTGAGTTCTCGACCAATGAGATCGCTCTATTTTCCATCGTGTTATCTGCAGAATTTGGACAGAAAAATTTGCATTCGACGGAAAATAAATCGGAAAAAAATATTAATATTAAAATTTTCTTGCAAAATTTCAAGTGTTGTAGTACTACAGCTAAAGATCTGGTGATATCTGCAAAAATCTCTGAGGTAAACTTTATTTTCAATGTTATTTTGATGTTTGAAGTTAGTCGACTCCCCGCGACGTGTTGACTCAAGTCTAAATATGTTTACAATGTTTAAAATGAAATCATGGGCAATAGGACAGGTGTAGTGTTGTTAAATAAAAAGTTAGAAATGGTATTGTACTTACCCATGTATTATAATTATGTTTAGAAGATCAGAATATTCATAACTTCTTATTTTGTTTCATAAATAGTTAAGTTCTTTAATATTCGAAACAAATTCCACATCTACTTTGTCTGCCGCCGCCATGTTTACTCGCCCCAATCTACATACTACACGGCATTGCCGCCCCTCCTGGCAAGATAATAAGCAAGCGAGAAAAATTAAGGAGAAAATAAGAGGGTAGGAACATTGTGGGCGTTTCGTGGGTGTGTCATCGTTCTGGGCGAATCGGCTTTCGCAATCTTGTATCACATGACTAATTCAAATCGTCATAGGCGGGAAGCAGCATTACACGTCATCCCTACGTCAAATAAAACGTTATAAAACGCGTCGTGGAGACGTTTGTGCCATATATGGAAGTTATGGATACGTTTGTGCCATATATGGAAGTGTCACTGCATCCAGCTTATGACAACGATGTTCCTACCCCCTTATTTTCTTCTAATTTTTCTCGCTTGCTTATTATTTTGCCAGGAGGG